CGGATGCCAGGAAGGGTAGAAACCAGTAATGCGGATATGATGTTTATAGTGTATGTACAAAAAAAGATATCTTTTGTTAAATCTACAATAAACGAGTCTTGGAGGTCATTATGAATAAATAAATTATTAACGACATGTTACTGTTAGACTTCTGCATGTAACAGGTTGGTTATTTTGAATCTTTACAGAAATTATATTAATTTACATGTTTTTATTATTATTTTTTTAGAGTCTAGATATTTATTAGTATCCATTCGCCTCAACTTCCGTATTTTTAACTTAATTTTCAAGGTGTCGACTGTTATCAAGAGAAATAAATAATTATTTTTGCTTCTGTAAAATAGATTTCTTCATCGACTAATATCATATTTTGTCACATCTAAGGACATTCATAATAGTGGTAGAGTATCTCATTCACATTCTATGTACAAGGAATAAAAATAACAATAAACTAAACTAATCAAAATAACAACTTAAATACGCACATAGTTTTATACATTTAAAAAAAAAAAAAATCATTCACCCAGGAAAACTCCGGGCCAAGCCTTTCTCCCCAATAGTGGAAGGCAAGACAGGATTATAGGAATTCCCAGCGCCTCTCAGCCAAGTAATTGGTAAAAGAAATAATAACAGAAATATGTTATAATCAAGTTGAAATAACTTCAGACCTATCTGCTTCTAAGCAGATTTAAACAATAAAATAAATAATACGATAAAACTGTTAGTACAAAATCATCATTTTATAAATAATTTAACTCTCATATTTTCTTGGATAATATTAATAGAGTGTAGGTCGAAATTTTGGGAATATTGAAGTTGAAAGAGTGTTATATTTTTTAGTCTTTTAATGTTTAATTACTTTATTTACATAATACATAAATGTATAGATGCATGGCAAAGTTAAAGTTTACAATTGCAAACCATCCCCCAAATTGCCACTAAGAGGACAGTAACAAATGGCAATGTATTCACACCATTAGGGGACAATGGATGTGTTTCTCTTACTGACCCTTTCCAGTCCCAGGATATCGACCCACTTCTGCAACAGCTGTGTTCCTGCATTGTTTCCACACCGTAATAGAATCCACTAGGATACTATACCACTGGAGGGCATGTATTTATAAAATTACCGCGCCTTTATAATTAATTACATACGATAGTTATTTTAATTTCAATTTTTTAAAAATATATATAAATAATGCAGTATTTTCAATATCAATAAAATAAATAAGAAAAATAGTTTTTCGTATTCAAGTGCCTTGAGAAACACACAATCATTAACTAATATTTAATTATATTATTTAAAAAGTAAATTAGGCAGTAAAAACGTTGAAATTACTTCTAAGATTTGTTATTTATATAACACATTTTCTGCATCATACACTTTAAATTACAGAAAATCATACATAGTATAATGAGAACTATGAAATATTATTAATTAAAGAAAAATAAAGGCTACAAATCATTACACAATGGTTTATTACATCCAAACAGTTATTATACATAATATATACTACTTTTCACATAGATAGAGGAAAATAAATAAAATATGATTCCTTGTGATATAATAGGCCTATATGATTTTTGTTTTCATCATTATTAATTTTCTAAGAAGAATAGAGAACAATTTCGATTGCTTCAGGTGATGTGAGACATTAAAAAAATAATAACAAACGATATTATCTTTGCAGGTGAAAATGTTGAAAATATATCGAATAAAATATCTTAGCACCGATATTTTTTTTTTTTTTTAATTTCTTAAACTTTTAAAAGACGAAGTGTAGGCTTTTTTATTTATTGGAAAATCTAATTTCACCATCCCTCGTAACTTTTTTTCCAGTTTCTTTTCGATGAGGTATGTTACTTTATCCAAGTTCCATATAAATTGGTACATTTGTTTAAGCGCTACAGTCTATAAATTACAGATTTTTCGGTCCCCATAGATACAATTGATTAGTTTTATCTATTACTTAGGACTCTTCTACCTCTCATTCAATACACTTAACAGGTTTTGTTTAAGAGACTTCACGATCTCACACCCAAACTGGTGGTTACGATCCTAAGGATACCTATGCAAAAGGATAACCTCGTCCATATTAACGCTGTGAAAACGTCCTATAAACTCATTTTCGTTTGGATAAGAGATTTTTTTTTTTGTTTGACTCAAGTCTTCCATTGAAATCCTAAATTGGCCATACTTCGGATATATTGTGGTGTGGAAATTTTGTGGAGAATCTCTACATTCTTTTGAAATAGAATTTTACTGTGATTATTGAGAATGGCAAGAACTACTGGCTGAGTAAAGTTATCTGTCTTGTCATCCAACCGAAAACATACATAGCAGGTCGATATGTGCCACTTAACTTCACTTGAACATAAAAGCTTTTGTAAAGGAATTGGCTAATAGGATAGCGAAAAAATGTATAAAGAATTGATTTTAAGAAAAAGTCATTTTAAAAGCGCGAAGTTGAACAGCTATAATGAACTATATCACTATTTCTTTCCCTGTTTGAAATTAAGACATTATTTTGGCTGGTAAGGAATCTTGAGAAGAGTTTGGAAATTAAAATTGGAAAACATTTACGAACCCACTGTTTAGTTATAATTTATTATTTTAAACTTACGCAAATACAGATATATTCTCTTTTAGTAATATGATTATTTTAATGAAGATGAATTTTATAAAGCATTTAAATTGTTAATTTGAAAGCCAACTAATTTATAATTTATTTACATATAATTAAACAATAAAATTTATCATTATTATTATTTTTTACTTTTTATAAAATCAAATACTATTTCCAACTGAGTGAACATTGAATTGTAAAAGGAAAAAAAACATCGAAACTCATAAAACTTTGATATGAAGGTAATAATTTTTTTTTTTTTGTTATGACATACATAATCTGAATACATCAGAAAATAATTGTATTTTTTTTTCTGAACATTAAAGACTCAACACAATTTTTTTTTAAAACTTGTTGATATAATTATAAATTTCTGAAATGGGGAAAAATGGGACCTTTTCTATCTTGATTTAATCTAATTTAAACTTTGAAAATTTTTAATCTCCATTTCATAACAGGGATTAGTTTTTAAACTATTATACAACGTATGCTTGTGTCTAAGTATAAATAATTATTTATTTTTCCTTTATTTTAAATAAACATATCATTTAGGAATTTAAAAATGTAAAAAGAAATTAACTGTTAGTTTAAATAAAGTAATCTTATTGCATAACGTTTCAGACGGCAAGAAATATAATAATTATCGCACTATTAAAAAAGAAAATAATGGATTCTAAACTATATATAATTACAGGAAGATAAAAGTAAGGAATGTTTATGGTGCGGCAAACGGACATTCCGCAATGGATGAATGGTCTTAAAGAAACGATTGGAAAATTTCCAGAGTATGTCCAGAGAGGCCGCACGCAGGCAACTTTCTTTTATGAAACGATTTAAAAATAATTTTATACTAAAAAAAGTAATAATAATTTTAATTCAAAATTCGTTCGAAATATCACGCTAATAACTGTAATATGCGTTGTAAGAACATATGTTCGATATAAATTCTAACTATCTAATATGAAAATTCCTGCACTCCAGCGGTTGTAATTGTTATTAAATATTTTTAAAGAGCAAATACAAAACCTTCAAACATTCATAAAAGCACATATTAGTGTGGAAATTAAAACATTTTCGTTGTTTGTACTGAATTGGTAATGATATTAAAGTGGTGATTTCAGATTCGATAGTTAGCATTTGTATTGACGATATATATGAATATATAAAAGGAAACTTTAACCCTTCTGTTTTCACATTCAACAATTAAATAATTCTGAAGACTTGCTGCAATGAAAAAAAAAACCTACTTTTTAATTCAGAACCCGCAGATGTGATGTCGAATGAGTCGAGTTTTCTTTTCAGTATGCGTTCGTGTCTCAGTTCAAAGAACTACAGTATGCGTTTTACAATCCAATTACACTCCTTTCAATTTTAACGAGAACCTATCATTCCACATTTACAGTAATCTAAATAATTGTTCATGTTTTGGATGTATTTATAAGGTGGAAAAACATGGATCACAATTACTTTAGTAAAAATATATCGGTAATGATATAATTAGACACGAAATTTGACAAAAATTCCAATAAATAAAATAAAATAAAAGTTCAATTATAATCATTGTCATAATTTTTTATGTATGAAAACCCAAAAATTATATTTTGGAAGAAAGAAATAGCAACAAAAAAAAACATTACTCACAAACATCATTTAACAGCTAATCATATCAGAAAATTGGTTATAAAACATATTTTATAGATATTATAAAACATATAAGGATTTAAAAAAAAAAAAACTACATGATGCTATATGGTACCTATTAGTTATAATTTGTAATTTATGTTTTTTATTGTAATTATAAATATGCCTTAACTTTTGAATGTATTAAAAAAAACATTTCCATTTTCCTTTCTTTTTAAAGCAGTTTATAAATGTAAAGAAAATGGTTAGCCTATGAATATTTAAATAAAATATGTATTAAATTTAAAAAAAAAATGGTCAGATAAATTTATAAAAATAACTACTAAACACTTACAAAATAAAAAATTGACCTTGTTAAAACATTAAGTTGTGAACATACTATTTTAGTGTTTTTTAAAATAATTAATAACAAATGTTTATACACTGTACAATAAACTATCACGGACTAGTCGACCTTGATGAATAAACTGAAACGTAAAATTTAATATGTAAATCCAATAAAAAAATATGTAACTTTTTCTGTGAAGCAGGAAAGTCGCAGCTGTTTAAAAACATAATTTATTTCTTTAGACATTATCACGTTCCAGTTTAAATCACAGGAAATATATCCTTCTTCACTGATGATAAATGATTGTAATCACTATCACTAACTTTAAAGCCACACAAACTAACAAGAGTATTTATTACGTATTATAGGATAGTGTTAAATTAAAATTGTTCACAAGTGCTCACCTCTGCCATGAGAAGAGACGACAAACAAAAGATGCGATGACACAAACACACATGGCCGGACTAGAGACGCGGCTCTGGTCCGGCAGGTACTGACACTAGAACCTACAACGGACACAAACGACGGACTACTGGGTCCCCAGGCAACCCCCACTACAAACGCAGCCCCCCTCCCAGTTCCACGGGCCTCTTGGGGGTCAGTCTGTCAGGAGGCGACAAAGAGAAGGGAGGTATTGTACTTTTTGTCGGCTCTGTATCACATCGGAGCATACGGTACTACGCCACTGCTCGATTCATGCGGAAAACGGATTATTTTAAGTAATGAGAAATGAGTCGTTCATTTCCGAAATGAATCCTAATCGACACAATATTGACAATTTTCAGAAAACGCGTAAAACTATATTTTATTATTATAACTTATTATATCAAAAAATATATTTGTTAAAAAAAAATGTCCTGAAATTCTTTATTTATATTATTGTACAATTTCGGAAAATCATTTAGTTTACAAGAATAATTTAAAATACATTGAAACTTGAATAGGGGGTAGCTCAGTGGGTAGGGCACTGACTTTCAAAGCTCAAGGTCTACGATACGAATCCAGCTGATGACAGGTTATTGATTAATCCGTTTCATCAATCGTGGATCAATCCTGGGGTCGGTAGGACCCTTCTGAGGCACATCCAAAGCATGTAAAGTTGTTACTCTTAATTAATTAATTAAACCGAAAACCTGGTGGTTCTCGATCAGATTACCTCCTTGCATTTATTTTTAATTTTCATCTGAATAAAACGGTTTTTAATTCATTGAAAATTTTTAATGAATTAATTTTTAAAGTGACAGAATGTGACTTTGAGACAGAATGTAATATTTTTCAAATTAAAAAAAAAAAAATTCAAGTTCTATTATATTCTTTGAAAAAATGTACGTTTTGAAATTAAACTTATTATTGCAAAACATTTTTAAATATTTAGTTTGTTTTTTTACTCAAGAAGCTTCCGCAAGTTCAATGAGAGAAGTACGGCTATCCCCCAATGCCGAACTCCGAATAAAGAACTTGAGTCCACCATTTATTCATTGAAATTTCGGATGTCATCTCAATCGAGTACCATACAAAAGTTCTCATAAAAAAGTTTTTTTTTTTGTCTTATCGAATCACAACATAAATGGTTTGTCTGACGTAGCCAAATGGTCTTCACGATTCTTCCATCAGACACACCAAACAAAGAATATGTTTGTTCGCCTTCCGTATATTGGTATACTTTACACTGGGCCGTCGATGGGCCAAAACGCTTTTCCCTACAATGAGAAGAGATCCTTTTTATAACAGTTACTCTGTAAGAGGCTCATATCTCTGACGCGTAGGTAAGAATTGGTCTGTTTAGGGCCTTATACAATCTTATTTTAGTAGGTATTAGAGATTGTGATCTACTACCTGGATGTCAACACACTCCAAAATCGTACACGTTCACTCCTTATCTCAACCAAAACGTCATTACCTGCATTAACCTGTGCCACCAGGTACACAAACTGTTGTACTAGTTCGAACAAATAGATACAACCAATCTAGATAAAATGTTTCTTAGAACTCTATCTTGACCAGTCATAAATTTCTTTTTACAGCAAGCCCTTCTGGCAATATCATAGTGGGCAAGGAAGGCTTCTAGAATAGATTATATTATTTACTATAATTTTTTTTTTAAATTTGTAAGTTGTAAGTTGTAATGGCAAGAGGTTAGCTGACTTGGTTATAAAATCCAATACAATTCGTTATTGAAAATTAAAATAATACCTACGACTATTACATGGTAACGACATCCAGAAATACGCATTTTCTAATTATTCTTTTCAGCAATCCGAAGGTTTAATGACAACGCATAAAAAACGACCAGTATATTCGAATATCCTCCCAGAGACCTCTTTCAAAAACAACTGACATCATCTCAGCAAATATTATCTTTCTAACTACACCTCGTTCGGTGAAATAGTCACTTCCCGGTTTCAATTAACCTTCATAAAAAATAAATAGATTGTGTTGGTTTTTTTGTTTCGTGAAGTAGTTTGAAAAAAAAAAATATTAAACAGAAGAAGGGAATTGAGCAGGTTTTTAAAATAATAGACTCCTAAAATACTTAAAAGTTATTAATAACCGATATTAAGAATATAAATCTCAATCGATCATACATAAAAAGATGGACAATGTTATACTACGATTACCTAGCTGAATATTGTTTTTTAGCAAACCTTCGCAGAAAGATTGAATTGTCATTATGCTTCGGAGGATAATGACAAAACACAGGTTCAGTTAGCACATAATTGAATTCTTAGATATGTGTTAGTTTTAATAGCAATCATTAAATAGTTATACATTTCGCATAAAAAAGAAGTAATTTTTAGTAAAAGACTAAAAAAAAAAAAATTAGGATTAAACAAATAAATAAAAAGAGGAAAGAAAATAAATTTTGAATGAATTACGAAAAGAATTATTTATTTATTTAGTTTATTTGTTGCCTCTAACCTGCATGGTCATTGGAAACACCTTCTCGTTAAATTCTATTATAAAGTTTCACCACTTTTAGGAACTATAATGTTTTTTTAACAGCTGTTTAGGTTTTCTAGAAGGTATGGTGCTGCCCAAATTTTCTCTGATATTTTTTAGTGTAGGGCATTCTTCTATGATGTGTTTTACCGTTATTTGGACATAGCAGCTCTCGCAGGTCGGAGGATCAAGTCCATTTAGTAGGCAGACGTCCGAGAACTCACTAATGTCCAATTCGTAATCTGCTAAGGGCTGTCTCTTCTTTTCTAGAGGATCGACAAGAGGTTTCCCATTTTGAGCAGTGTTTTTTATTTCTCTCAAATTAGAATCCTTTTTCATCCACTTATTTTTCCAAATTTTCCAAACATCCATCTTAATCATCCTCATCCCTCTAAAGGGATTTCATTAATTGGTTCCACTTGAGTTGTACTTGCCTTTCTAGCCATTTTGACTGCTAAGTCCGCCTACTCATTTCCAGTTACCCCGCAATGCGAAGGGACCCATATCTTATTTATTTACCCTTCTGCTTTAGCAGCCATCACAAGTTTCTTACTTCTTTCACTATAGTAGTTTTTGTTCCGGTGTTTTGAATGGGTTGTAATTAACATCGAATCTGTTACCACGGCCAAATTGGTAGTTTCGGTTGTTTTCATGTATCGAAAAGCTTCTCTTATCGCTACCATTTCACCAGTAAAAACTGAGCAAGCCTCCAGAAGTTAGAATAATTTTCGAGTATGAAAATTTATTACTGAGCGTTCTATTTCCTTATCTATTTTCGAGGCATCTGTATACAAGATGTTACACTCCTTTTATTCAAGTTTTCTAAAAATATTTTTGTAATTCAACTGGAGGTTCCATATACTTTTTACATCTGGCAATTGAGGTATTTATGATTGGTGAGGTCCATCGGAAAATGGCCAAGAGAGATACTCCTTCAATAATAACAAAATCAAAGTAAATCAAGGGAATTTGAAGCAAATAATCAATACATCGAATTTGCTAGATTCGCTACCGCGCACGGCTGTATGACGTGGAATATTGAAAAAAATAAAAAACTCACATTTTGATATGCTTTTCTTGTTACTTTTTTTAAATTTTATTTTAAAAGCTATTGGACAAAAATATCGAAATAAAAGATGCAAATTAATATTTTTTTTTTGTATTTTCACTGTGAATGCATATATATATATATATATATATATATATATATATATATATATATATATATATAGAGAGAGAGAGAGAGAGAGAGAGAGAGAGAGAAAAAAAACTGTGTTACATTTTAAGTTCTAATTGGTAAAGTTAATGGCTCGCCCAATTTTTGGTGTTTCCAATTCTGTACCCCGGAGGTAAAGAACACCATGTCCATCTTTTTAATTAAATATTTTAATGCTCCGAAATAAATATTAATTGCTCAAAGTTATAGAAAAATGGCTCCCTTAACAAATATAAAAATGTGACATGGTGGCCTTTACCTCCGGAGCACAGATATAGTTAATATGAAACAAATCGTAAAAGCCCAAAGATATGGAACATCGGCTCCTCTGAAAAAATAAAAAAATAATTATGGTCTCCTGTATCTCAGATGTAAAGAGCTGTCCTATTAATTTCCTAACTTACTTTCTAGATAACTTAAAATTGACTTAAGTTATAAGAGCTTAAGAAGGTAGAGAGCTGTTTCGTATTGGGAATGGAACCGGTGAAGTTAGAGTATTGAAAAGTGGATTACAAATTACTTTTAATGAGTTTTTAAATTTTATAAGTCTTTTTCCAATACACTGTGCAATCATTGGAAACTCAAAGATATCGTGCGGCTGTTTTTTATAATACTAAATACCCCCATTATAAATATAATACCCCCAACTAATTTTTCAACAAAAATCACATATCGACATTTCGATATATCGATGTTTCTAACCTCCCCAATTCATGTTCATTACTAAATGTTCATTCAGCCACATTGACCTTAGTAAGATTAATGATAGCCAGGTCACAATCGATAGAGACTACAAGAGCACCTCCAAGAACACACGATGCTATTGGGTAAGCCCAGAGCCATGTACTTCGTAGCAAGGCCCCGACCAATGAACCGAAACTGCACGATGCAACTCTTATCAATAACTTGTTGAAAGCATCATTAGCAGGGCTCGCCTTGACCCGCTTTGGGATCGCTCATTGTTTCCATCTCCTTCCAGCGATCGGACTATTTATTGAAAATACGACCTACATTCCGTGTTCCGGAGCCGTTTCGTTACGACTCGAATACCATTAGCGAACATGCACGACTCGGCTAATGAACAAGTTTCTCGTGGGATGTGGAAAATGCACTTCATTATTCGCTATAGTAATATTTAATTGTAGTCCATAGCTCTTTGTACCGATTTCTTTTTTTGCAAATATTTTTGCAGATCCAGGATCCAGGACATTCAGTGGCAGATCCAGGATTTTTATTATGTTTTTCAATTTTTGTAATTATTCTGGAAGAAAAAGAAAACTGTTCTATATGGAATGCTGTTTAAATGGTCATTGAAAGGAAAAAACTATGTGTGAAGTGAAGACAGAATTGTTATACGAAATGTGCTGAGC